ACAAAGAAACAGCAGGTGGCAATATTTCCCAGCATATACAATTCCTGTTCTTCACTCTCCTGGAGAATCAAAGCCCTGAATAAAAATACTAAAATTAATGTAGTTGACACAATGAGCTGGATTTGTTTTAAAAGCTAGTTATTGCATTTTTACTAGGGAATTGTGCTTTTTCTTTAGCACAGTACCAGATGAAGCTGAATACTTAGAAAAGCAACTGTTGATTTTGAAATTGCTGTAATTCCAGACAGACTGTCCTAGTTTTTTTCTTACTTATTTCAAAGATAATTTGAGAGTTGAGTTTTGCATTTATTTCTAAAAGTACACCCTACTATAAGGAACCATTTGGAAACGTGAAGATTCTCATTTGTCTGCTTTTTAAATGACACATCTAAGGATTCCCAAATCCCAACTAGCCATTAAACAGTAGCTGTGTTCTTTTCTTAAACAAAGATTAAGATTTCAAAGTCTCTCTTAAATTCCCACCCATCGTTTGACGCTCAATCAATCATGTAGGATAAGTATGACTTGACGTGGCTGTGGTTGCCACTTTTCAAATGTTTATTTTAGGTATTTTTATCATTAGTTTTGTCAAATCTGAGTATGATCATTACTTGCCCAAAGAGGTTTTAGGCATGAGTTCACCGGCCCATCGTGTTTCAACAGGGATGGCTAGAGCAGACAGTTAGGTTAATTTATCTAGTTGCATGGTCCGGTGTTATTTTAGAATTTTTTTAGGTTAATGTTTATTTTATTTTACTTTAGGCAACAAAACAGTTTTTTAGTTTTAGGTTTTAGTTTTAGTTTCAGTTAACTATACGTAATAACCCTGACCTGGCCTCTCTACTCATTGAAAAATAAGTAAAAGAAAATAAATTGTGCAAACATTTTGGAGCCCAATAAGTGTCCTCCCACAGAGGACTGTTGGTGGGATCATCTGGGTTAATACATTTTTATTTATTTATTTTTTTTTTACAAATATTACGAATGGGAGAGTGATGGTATTTTGCATATAATTAATAGTGATGAACTTTGAATCGCTGCATTAAATCGCATTGCTCTGATTTTCAGTCAGTAAAATGGTGATTGGCAAGCTGATTGGGTGCCTCTTTTGCAGAGGTCATGGGGGTCACTGAAACTCACCACTGGGCCAGATCTTCCAGTGAGACCCATTGGACCTGATGGACCTCTCATGGCGAGCTGCGAAAACAAACCATAAAATCAAAATCAGCAAAATATCATCAAACATATATAATAATTGGAGGACATCTACTCTCTTCAGCCAGAGGAGGTGGGGCGGTGTCCGCATTTGTCAAGGACAGATCTGAGCACTAATCTGTAGCACCTGTCGGGTCGCCCTCCTGCGGGTCGTGAACCTTGCTAGTATTTTTAACTAGTCTCTCCGCATGAGTCAAAGCAGCCTGCGCTGCTCCGTTTCACTCTTGTTTTAGCGCAAACAAGACCGGAGCAAATCCCCTCCTCACCCTCAGTCAAGTTTCCCCCACTTCCCCCTCAGCAAACAGCTGGGAGAAGCTCGAGGGCCATTTGGCCCTTTACTTCTCATACTCACCCTGGCCTGAGAAAGAATGGCCTGAGCCTGGGCTTCTTGAGCCGACACCACTGGACCCTTTTCCCCATCACCGCCAAAACGGAACTGTCAAACATGAACAGAGTATTCATTATTATCATTTACATTTAGAAAAACGTCATACTATCATACACTACACTATAAATATTGAGTCAAACAAACACGAAAAGCAATATTCTGACTATTTAATAAGGATTTAGATATTATTTTCAATATATGCTATAAAGAAGTGAAGTATGCAGTCATTTTTTTCATGTTTCTATTCTCATTATGTATAACACTTTATAATGTTCTATACTATGCTATACTGTAAATACTAAGTATTATGAATATTTAATTACAATTTAGACAGTTTTCAAAACTACCACACAATATGCTGTAAAGAAGGAAAATGTGCAGTCATTATTTTCATTTTTGTATCACATTAAATACTACATATACTATACTATACTGTAAATACTAAGCTAATCAACTACGAAAAGCAAATACTTTTGCAATTTACTAAACAACAATATGCCCTAATGAAGTGAAGTATGCAGTCATTTTTTCATATACTGTATGTAGCCTTATTATAACATTTCATACTATATCTACAGTATACTGTACAAACAAAAAGTTAAATACTATGAATATTTACATACTTATGCAAAATACTAAACAACAATATGCTGCAAAGAAGAGAAGCATGCAGCCATTATTTTTTATGTATGTATGCTTAGTTATTAGGTATAACACCATAATACCTCATAAGCATATAATACTATAATATACAATATTATTTATCAACTACAAAAGGCAACATTTGAAATATTTAATTGAGATTTAGATAGTTTTCAATACTTTTGCAAACTATTAAAGAATAATATGCCTTAAAGAAGTGAATTTTTTCATTTATGTATCAGTACGTATAACACTTCACATTACAACATATACTGTTAAAACTAAGTCAGTCAAATATGAAACACAGCATTATGATGTTATTTAATTAGGATTTAGATGCTTTTCTGAACTTTTAAAAACTACTTCACAACAATAAAAACCTAAGGAAGTGAAGAATGCAGTCATTATTGTTTGTTTTATATATCATCTATTTCCGTGATTTTCAACTTATATACGAAAAAGCACCAAAAGGATATTTAATCAGTATTTAGATGGTTTTTAGCACTTTTCAAGTTATTACACAGTCATATACTCTAAACAGGTTTGTTATAATTGTTTTCATGTATGTATAATTGCAGCAATACATGCATCAAACTGTTGTGCAGTTTAGGCTGGAGAGATTTGCAAAGATATTTGGTGGATTTAGGGGTCTTACTGGCAGCATCAGCATAGTACCA